TTTTTTTTTTTTTTTTTTGTGGATTGAATCAAACCTGACCTTCAAAAAAGGAAATGTAGGGAACAATTTTAACAAGAGTGCATTTTTCTCCATCTCTCTGAGTCAGAAACGATTCAATAACCTAGGAGGAAATTAGGAGCCCTGCTTCTTCAACAAAAGATATAATAGTTTCTTAGATATGGAGTTCCACCCAGAGGGACAGGGCACACTGGCAGAATGGCCTGTATTCATGCTCCCATTTGATCCTAGTCTGTTTGTACATATTTTACAGCTTTGTACACAGCTGATGATTCCAAAGCACTTCTTAATCTCATTGAGAGCTGCATTTGATTGGTGAGGGAAACATAGTTGAATATGTTCAAACTATGTTTCAAAGGCTGAGGGAGCTGGGCCTGTTCAGCCTGGAGAAGAGGAGGCTGAGGGGGGACCTGATCAGTGAGGACCGGCCTCTTTTCAGTGGTGGCCAGCAATAGGATTAGAGGAAACGGCCACAAGCTGAGGCACCAAAAGTTCCACAGGAACTTGAGAAAACACTTTTTGACAGTGAGGGTGACAGAGCCCTGGAACAGGCTGCCCAGAGAGGTTGTGGAGTCTCCTTCTTTGGAGATCTTTAAAACCCGCTTGGACGCAGCCCTGTGCCMCGTGCTCTAGGTGACCCTGCGTGAGCAGGGGGGTTGGACTAGATGACCTCTGAGGTCCCTTCCAACCTTAAGCATTCTATGAGTCTATGATTCTATGATTCTATGTTTTGTCCAAATCTGAACTCCTTAATCAGGCCACATTACTATTAATTTTACTGGAAGCTTGACTGAACTGATGGTGTAAAGATTGAACTGGTGAGGGAGTGAAATACTCCCAGATGAGTACTTAGTATTTTCGCCCTTTTCAAACTTTATTTTGTAGGGAGGTTTCTGCAACTTCACGGAATTGAGACTGTTGTATAGTACTTTTTAGGATCCTATAAATATCTCAGTGATGGTGTTTGCTTGTTTAAAAAAAAAAAAAAAAGGTGGAGTACTTGCTATTTGCCTTTTGTAGTGCAGCATGTAGTGTTTTGCCACAGTTTAAAAAAATACTGAAACAAATACGCATTTTCATAGCTTATATTCTGGGATAGCCAGTTTTCAGAAATACAGGTAGAAAATATATGGTCTGATTTTTTTTTTCTTTGCTCATTACATGTGTGTTTATTCTATGTAGTCTTCTATCAAATGACATTGACAGGACAACAATCAGAATCTTGTTCTCCTCTAACCTTTACCATACCTACTTTGAGATTGCAAAGGCAAATTTGTAGTTTGTGATTGATACTTTTTAGTAATTAATGTAAAATGAAGAATATGGGCTATTAAAATACTGTTATTGAATTCAAGATCTGTATTGGAAAACCTGCATGTAAGAGCACAAGATTTTCTGTCAGCTGAGAACACGGGAAAAGTGAAAGGACTCATAGTGACACTTAAAGGAGATGCCAATGGAAAACCTAAAGGCTATGATTTCTACTCCAGATATTTTGCACCTTGGTATGGAGTTCTGGAAGACCCTGTTACAGGTATGTGTTTGCATGATAAAAGACTCTCATTCTTGTCTGAATTCAGTTAAAAATCTCTTGTTAAACTCTGTAAATCAGGTTTTGTACTTTGGATTCTTTCCTCCTTTAAATGATTTTATATGGAGAGCAGGAATGTGAAAATGAAAACTTTTATGATTGATGCCAAACTCATTCAGAAACAATCAGCACCTGCTGTCATCAGGTCAGATATTCCTGCTTTTTCAAGTCCTTTCCATGTTAATATTCTAACTGGAGAAAAATCAGAGACTACTTAGGTAATGAGTGAATATTGCAGAAGAAATACTCATTTCTGTAAAAGTGTTCCATGTTTTTTTTTTTGTGCTGAGATGCTGCCTAGTTTCATGACATATTATTGTGGATATTCTTAGTCCCATGAATAATGTGATTTCAGCTAGTTAAATGCTCAGAGGCAAGACAGCTACTTTTCTGCTTCCTGTGCTGTACTCTTCAGTGAGTGTGACAGTGATTGATGCAGAAAGATGAAAGTAATGTTATTTGCTTTGTTACCAGCTAATCACAGGATGATCATTAGTCAACTGAGAGCTTGGTCAAAACCTCTTATTAAATATTTTAGTAAAAAAATCAAAAACTAACTAAACTATGCAAACGTGCTTTTACTGTGTGAAATACTGGTGCTTACTCACATTCAAAAGGATTCTACTTTATGTAGAGACTGAAAGAAAACTGAATYTCTTATGTAACAACTGTTAGAGGGATTGTTTTCCTTTCAGACAGCCTCTTAAGTCTACCTGTTTTCATTGTTAACAAAACATTCCAGGGCCTGTTCAGATATATATTTTTTTAATTTTATTTTTGTGAATAAGGCTTTATATTTCAATGAAAAACATATCTTGAAGAAGTATATTTAWTGTTTTTCTTTAATCTTTTGACATTCTGTTTTTAGGAAATTTCATTTTTGCTTAAAAACAAACAAACAAAAAGTTTGGCTGAAGTATTTTAACCTGTACTATTTGTTATTTTTACAAGCCATGAATGAGAAAATAATATAATTCTGTCTGCTTTGCAAACTCTTAGGGATTCTTCCTCTAAATATAGTGATGTAGCACTTGATTTGTTAAATAACATTTACATTTTGAAAGTGATTGCTCTATAAAATAGTGATTCTAATTTTGTACTTTTTCTTCCAATTTCTTTTAAGGGTCTATCCATGCTGTTTTAGGCAGCTACTGGTCAGAGCAGCTGGGGAAAAAAGAAATGCTTGGTAAGAAGTACTGTTTTGTTGCAAAGCTGCCTGCTTATGTGCAAACTACCCACCACAAAAAAAAAAAAAAAAAAAAAAAAAGTTTATATTATTATTACAGTCCAAACTCTTAATATCACATATCCTTCACTGAGCTAGTGTGTATACAGTACGGACTTGGATACTGCCTTTTCTCCTTATCCATTTTCTTAATTTTAGTAGAATAATAATATTTTGTGAACAAGTGAATCTGTATGAAATTACTCTCTTCCCTTTGTATCAACATGACTGACAGTGCCTGTAGTGAAACTGAAATGTTGGCTTATGGATCTTAACTCTCTGCAATTAGTTTCTGATCTCATCTTTTAGATTTTATGTCTCACAACCTCTCAGCATAACTGAAGCTGGTGAATTTCAGATGATATTGATTTATTTGTCCATTTTGACTGTACTTAGGATGCTACTTATTCCTTAGGGTTTGCATTTTAGGTATTAGATGAAAGGTATCCCGTCAATATTTTCACTCATAATGTGTGCTGTACAGTGCGATTTGGATACTGGAATGTCAGATGGTGATATTTTTCTTTTGCTTCATACATGTGTAAATGTGAGATTGAAAAATGGCTGTTCTGTCTGACTTAAGAATTTGTTGAGAATGACTTGAGATTAATCCCTTCAGTAGCTTCTTTAGGAAAACTTTTGCTCAGGGTGATGTTCATTTGCGTTGTAGCAAGAGAGTATAAAAAGAGTATTCAATTAGGAATTGAGAGGATAAAGTATGACTTACAGCATGAATTGACATTTAATATTTGTGAGTGGGGATAGGATATATGAGCCAAGCTTGCGATATTTTATTTACTTGCAATATTTTATTTGAATCTTACTTTTAAATGTTTAGGCCTATAGGCATTTTAGATGTTTGGACCTTTCTATATTTGGCCAGATTAATCTCAGAATGGACATTTGCTGAGAATGACAAACTCTGTGAAGGATGTATTAGCCCTCCGTAGTTCAGAATGATAACCCACGGTGACTGTCCATTATGGACTCATGGAAGGACAAAACATTCTGTTCTGCAGATCTTATGTTAGCATTTATATCACACAAATCTGTGATAATTACAGTAAAGGTGGAAGAAAATGCATACTTTCTGAAGAGGACAATGGCTGCTTCTCAGGACGTTTGATATTTTCAGATGTTAATGTGGTATTTGAAGCTTTTGTATTCAATTAGTGGACACTATATTACACTAAGTAATCAACAGAAATTCTGTCTCTAGAAGATATGTTCTACTACTTTTACATTTTCGAGGATTTTGTATGTACGGAATTATGTTTCCTGTTTCAAAGAAAGTAACTCAAGCGGCAAAGGACATTTGTGCTATAATCAACTCCCCTAATGTATTTAAGTAGGATATAAAAGCCCAACTTCCCACATGGGATTTTTCATATTTTATGCATATGTGTTGTCAGACGTTCTTTTGATGGAAGTCATGCATTATGGATTTAAAGAGGGCAAGTTCATTTGACATCTGATCAGTTTTCTCCATTCTGAGATAACTTTTACAAATATATATTAGAAATACAAGCTTTCCAAAGGAGTTACTGTAGAATTTCTGAAATATTTTAAAGATAAGGGGTTTTACCCATGATATACTTTAAGGGAATTTTTTTGTACCCCTTTCCTTGGAGAATACATCTGTAGGGAGAATTTGCCTAACTGGTTTCTGATTATTAATGCCAAACTGATTTGTAACTTTTAAGTTTTTTTTAATCTAGTTTAAAAAAAAAGGTGGGAGGGAAGATCCATTCACATTTTTTGCAGGATTGCTTTCAACACAAGGTTCTGTCATTTAATTTTTCAGCACTGTAACAACTTTTTTTTTTTTAGTGTAGCAATTGCTTCAAAGAGTGGAATAAATCCACCCATATTTGGGTGCTTTGCCAATTTGACATCTGATCAAGAGTTCTACAACGCTGTCACTACAGCTTTCATGTTTTCCAGCTGATCTTAGCTTATAAATTAATAGAATTTACTGTCTTTTTTTATAGGTACTCTCATTCATTAGGGCTATCTCAGGCTTATACCTAGAAGTGCAACATTTCCGCCCAGAGAGGGATGCTTCCATCACTCTCTGGKTTTGTCCATCTTGTTTCTTAAAGTTAAAAAAACTTGTATATCTTACTCTTCATTTAAATAGTTGCCTTAAAAAAAAAAAAAGTCTGTTTCATCGATTCTTACATAGGGAATAAAAATGCAACCTAAATAATAACTTTTAAAAATAGCTATTTTTATAAGAATGCTAGTTGTTCCGAACTTGATGACATTATCGTGACATCATGAGGGCAATTCCTAAGTCCTCAAATTCTGTAACCAGCAGTATTTAAAAGTACCTAGTTTAATGGGAAACTCTTTAATACATTAGGTTAATATTAGTTCAAATATTTCTGCTGCCTTGTGAAGGCAGTTGTGTGTCTGCATGATAAAGTTCAGAATCTTTATACATAGGCTTAAACTTTCCTCTAATTCAGGCTAATCACAGAGGAATTTAAGGCACTGTGAATTCATCTGCTGTCTTATTTCTGCAGATCAAAATGTACATGTCTATTTTTATTCTGGGAATAACTTATATAGTATGAGATTTACATAGAAGATACAGATGTGGAAGAGAAGCACCACCAGATCATACAAAAAGCAAACGCACACCAGAGATACATGAAAGGCTGTGAAGATGTTGTGAACAAAATGTTTCAAATAATGAAATGTTCAATGCAGGTCTATTTGCTTTCAGTCATACTGAGTAACAAAAAGAAATGATTGAGTACAAGTATAAATCTTTATATAGCTCCAGTTCAAGCTGTTTTGGAGTGTTTTGTCTCAGAATCTGATACCCTGTTATCCTAAGAGTTTTCTTGTCAGCTGCAGTTGTGAAACTGTTCTGCAGTCTACTATATGTACCATCTGTTAGAGACCCTGTACTCTGTTGGGATGGGAATACAATCTCTATCAAGTTTGCAAATTGTTGTTTTCAAACAGTGGGGAAAAATATACCCTGTGCCTTCAAAAAACATTCAATAGAATTTCAGAGAGTAAGAAGAGAGTCTTTAATGGTTCGTTGTGCATTTACCACCTTTTACAAGAATGGAGTGATAGTAACTTTTGCCAAATTTCATCAGGCCRATTTTCTGAACAACAAGTTAAATAAAATTAGACTCCTGAAGGGAGATGACTCAACATGTTAAGAGAACATTATCTTACCTGAATATGACTTAACAGTTCAGGCAAAAGCTTAACTTTGTAATTACTTACCAGTAGATGGCTATTTCTACTCAAAATTGTATCCAGTTGGGTTAAATGTTATATTCGGCATTATACAAAAAGTTATCTTAGGAATTTAGTTTCACTTTGTGACAGATGAAGTGGCATCTGTCTCATTTTGAAGACCTTTTCCACTGGATGCCTGAGTTTTGTTTACATGTTGACCAAACATATCCTTTAAATGTAGTACCCAGGTCAGGTACTCAAATACCAGTAGAGTGGTTCTCCATTCTTATCCAGTTAATATTCTGTATTCATTCTTATCTATGGAAATTGTCTATCTGATAAATGAGTGAATTCAAGACATTAGTATTACAAAGGAGACCTGCTTGGCTATGTCACATCACAAAGCAACTTTGYTATTTGTATTGGCTAGTATTTAGGTCACACTGGATACACAAGTCAATTTATAGTCTGAGTTATACAGAACAGTTCATCCAGGGTTTCCCTGAGACAGAGCTTTTCTTGAGGCTACTTGCTTTTTGGGGAGTAAAAAGCCTCATTTCCGTGAGTTTTCATGAACTCTGGATGCTTTTTGTTTTTGTTTTAATTATTTGTAATAGACCTGGGAATTGTGACTTGTGGATTCTTTCTTTCATTTAGCCTTTCAATGTTCTCGTCGGGGAGGAGAATTGAAGATTTCACTACGTGATGATGGAAGAGTTGACATTGYGGGGCAATTTGCTGTTGTAATGAAAGGAAATCTGACTTTCTGAAGAAATTGACACTAGTATCTTAATCACCCACTTCTCAATTTATTTGTGTTATACTAATTCCTTCTTCWAGGTGGTATATCACCATGGTCTTCAAAAACCTTTGATTGCTTGATGTCCATTTACAAACTTACTTGAAAAATGTTCATTTTTGATCTTCAGGATCTTTGATTTTATCCATCTTCATCATTTTTTTTTCTTGTCACTTGGTATGTATACTGATCTCAGAAACTGTCCAAGGATTGCTATTTTCTTTATCCACTCACCGCTAACTTTTTCTTTACGTTCAAATCCCATATTAAGATCCATTTCTCCTTCCTAGATTTGTTTGTAAAGTTCTTTGACCCATAAAATAATTTTTTTTCACATTCAATAATTAAGTCATTCTGAAATATGACTATAGTTCATTTWAAAAAAAAGCTTTTGTCATACTTAGAAATGATGCTTAAAATCTGTGTTCATTAATTTACTTGAATTAAACTGGAAGAAAACAGTAATTTAAAAAAATGCTTTGTGATTCTTTATTATAAATAGGATTGTCAAAGATGGATGGTGTTGTGGTGGCTTTTGATAGTGTAGCTGAATTGATAATTGAAGTTGTAACAGAAAGATTTAGGACATTAACAGTGATAACCTAAAATATAAAATATTACAAATGTCACATTGCAGTGACATTTCAGTTACTGCAACGTAAAATAGCTTAGTGTACTTTGCAGTGACTGAAATTTTGCTCCTAAATTTGTCTTCTGTACTTTTCTTTGTAGAGCATACTTGTCACTTCGGATTTTGTCACTTTTTCCTTTAGTATTCTCATCTTGGTTCATTAGGACTCTTGCGTTGTTCCGGTTTTCTAGCTAAAGCTCTATTTCTTCTTCCTGATCACTCCCAATCTTTGCTTTATTTATTTTCTTTGTGATTTTTTTCAAGATAAAGCATTTTGAATTCAAAGGCATTATCGTACTGTAGGAACAGCTGCATACGATATAAACCTTTATAAATAATGAGGAACACAGTTGTGTCAATGTCTCCTGTTACCAGCTTTTGCAAATTTTATCACAGCTCATAGTAGCTGATGTTCTACTTAAGCTGAAGCAGCTGGTGGCAGGTAAAAATGTGAGACTCCAAGGATTCATTTAACGTGAAAATTTTAGCTCCTGTGCCTATACAGAACATATTGAAAATGATCTAACTGCACCACAAAGCTCCAGAGCTAGGTGACTAATAAAAGAATCTCCAAATTGAAATTTGTGTACAGTCTTTTTGAACTTCTAGGACCTGACATTTGAAATATAAACAGGAGATTATCAGATGCAAGAGACTGCTATGGAGGCAATTGTCCAGAATCCTGTGGCAATGGCRTATTTTGCAGCTACTTCGACCTTGCCTTTTCTTAAGTCAGATTGCTGCGTTTTGTGCTAGTGACTTGGACCTTCCTGCCTARTAGCACTGTAAGTTTGTTTTGCTACCTTTGTCACTCCATAGTGGTTTATGCAAAGAGTGAATCAGATTCATAATCTGAGATGCTTAAAATAAATAACCCTTTAAATGAACAAAAGAAGCAATTATTATTCATTTGTCCAGTTTTAACAGGCAGTACAGTTTTTCTACCCAAGGGGCCCAGTAGTCACAAAGCTCGGTAAATTTTGATTGTACCTGCTATCTAAATTTCCTGACCAAATCGATGTACTTGCTGCTTAATGCTTAGATTCTTCTTGTTGTTGTTGTTGTTTAATGTAGTTTACTGCTACTTAGTCTCTGTTTTGTTCAGGATAGAAAAATTGCCAGAGCTCAGGTGGGAGACTGTGCAGTACTGTGTTTGTAATCAACAGATTAGTTAATCAGCCATGATTTATTAATGATGAATTARTTATACCTGATTGTGCAGTTCTGCTGCCTAAATGAAGCTTTAAAGGTGTTATTTTATTAATCATCGCTGTGCTAATTGCAGACACTTACAGAAGGATCAGTAATTAAACATGCAACCATATGCAAAACAAGCAAGGCTGCTGAGAGTGGCAAGAATAAGAGCACTCATTTTTTGAATAACAAACTTTGTTCTTCCTGAAATATTGTGTAGCTGACCTGGTGCTGCTAAGCTTTACGCATTGCACATTTTCAGTCAGCAGTTGAATAAAACATTGGGACGAGTCTTGCCTAGTGCAAAAATCATAAGTTGAATGAAGAACTTCAAACTAAGTTACTTAAGAGTTTTGTAGCCTTGTTTGCATTTTCATACAACAAATTTATCTATTAGCTTTATCAGCTGTATATAATTGATCAAACTTAGATTACTAYCTCGACTCTAAGTACCTAATAATTGCTGGTTGCAGAGTTACTTTAGCACCAAATAAAATGTCCAGTTATTTTTGAAACGAGAATTCAGAGTGTTTATTCTCAAAACTCCATGAATTTCATTTCAAAATGAGAGGAACACAGTGATGTTCAAACTCAGTAAAGTTAACTTCTAAATACCAATTCAGCTTCTTTGCTGCCCTCATAGGAGAATATTTATGTGTCGATGCAAAAGCTGTATGTCAGTAGAAGGAAATTATGGGAGCCGATATACATTTGAAAATGTCTATGCATTGGAGTGTTATTTGCTTGATTATTATCTTTGAGCAACATAGGCTGTTGGTTTGTTTCTACAGAAATTARAATATGGCTAAAAGGAAAAGAAAATAAAATGAAAAGACATTTTTGAATACAATAAGCAATTTTAGCATATTTGCATAAAGTATTCATGAAAATTCTTTGCATTTATTCTTTGTCATTTAGATGAGGATAGACAGAAAGCATTCTTTGACAAGTTATTACCCAAGCTGAAAAGTTTTGCAAAAGGTAGAATAGAAGATTTCACAAATGTGGACACAGCAAGAGGTCATAGAYGGGAACCATGTGTGCAGTAAGAGATAGAAGGAAAATTAGCAACAGATGATGTATTTGTTTCGGGGACTGAAAGATTCTTTGTCTCAGTATTCATCAGACTGACAGGAAAGCATGCCAGAAGCACAGGGAACCTTTCCAGGAGTTAATAAAAGGAAACTAAAATAAAATTAAGGATAATTAAAGGAAAATTAAGGGTGATGCCAAATCAGGTGAAAATTAAATTTAGTTTTAAAAAACCAAGAAATTACTAAACCAAATAATTTTGAGGTTTTTTTTTTTTCTCCTGAGAGATAGATTTGTCCTTAAAATAATTCTCAGATTTATACAAAAGAGACATAGGATTTTTCACAATTGCTGAGCTACTGTCTTTATTTAATTTCTTAGAAGTTATTACAAACAGTAACTCATAACTCAGATTTTCAGAAGAATGGAGATGAAATAAATATATCAGATATTAGAAAAGCGCAAAAGAAAAGTGATTAGATGTCAGTTTCATTGAATACCTTTATTCTAGTCTTAATATCTAAAACTGTATAAAATATGAATTATAAACATTTTGAGTTTGTTGATTTCTTTAGTGATTCACTCAGCCATTGCTTTTCTGCCTTCCTGACTGGCAAAAATCCCCAATGTTACTTATTTTAACTCCATGTCTACAAGCATACAAATCAGTTTTATCCATTTTTCAGTGCTCTGCAACCTTTTTTGACACTCCTTCCCCCCCATCTCCAAACCAAACTCCACTTTTCTGTAAGGAATATTTGGCCTGTGAAAAACTGCAGGGTGGTTTCAATACACTGAGCAAACCCAAGAGAAAATCTCAAGAGTATTTCTAGAAGAGGAAGGAATGTGCAAGAGATGGAGAAAGTGGGACTGTGAGATGAGGATGTGCACTGGCTGTGTAGAGACATTGGAGGCTGTATGCACTTCAAGCCCATGTTCCTTTTCCTTCTAGTTTATGTTGTTGTTGCTGTAACAATTTACATGATCAGGGTGTCAGAAGACTTATCTGAGTGCCCACCCTAACAAACTCAACTGAAGTGGGAAATTTCAGCTGACATTCTTGCATTTATTTTGATTTCAGAAAGCCTCCKTTCTCCAAAAATATTTATGACTGTGGAAATAAATAATAATCTTGATGAAGATGATTTTGGTCAATTATATTTGTAAAGAAATGTCCCCTTTCTGAGCAAAATTGGGCAGTTTATAAACAGCTTTCTGGACTTTTACATTTAATCAATATGCTTATTTGCAGCAGTTTTCTGAAGATGTATGTGATTGACTTAGGTAGTTAGCATCACAGCCTCCGTTCTTACCTTTGTTTTTAATCAGCATGTTTACTACAGCTTTCAGAAACCTTTCAGCACTTTACATTTAATAACAGCAATAGACAAAGTACTCATTTAACAACAAACTGCAGGCATTTTCTCAATAAAGTTACCATTTCAGCAGAAAAAAATGTAGATTAAAAGCAAACACCTGCTCCTGTAAATTACTCTGCTGCAGGTACCAACCCAGGAGACTCTGCAGATGGTTCTGTATTTGCAAGCGTGACCTCAACACCTCATCATCAATCTTGGKCTGATTGATTCTCTCCAAAGCAGAGCACACCATATCCCAGGGTAGTACAAGACGCCTTTGAATTAGTCCCAGATAGACTACCAATTAATTGGTACTTTTGGTTTCTTTTAAAAGTCCTGAACAAAAGGTTCAGTTGTGTTGTCAAGCACAGGCTGTGACTAAACGATGATACAGTCATGCAGTCCCAGGAAAAGATCCAAAGTGTACTGTGCTGCAAGGGGCATAATCTCTGCTAGGTCTCCCTGATACCTGAGAGTCTGGGTAAATTACACTATGCCCTAAGGTTGCAGGATGGGTAAAATAAGGTGAAATCATGACCCTTAGACTAGTGAAGTGCAAATTCATTACTTGAGAGATCCTAAGCTCAGTGTGTTCATTTTCCTCACCTGTTTGCAGGCGTCTTACTCCTTTTACAAAGGCCTGAGACTGATTGTACTAATCTTTTCTTAACTCGGACAAGTCTTCTCATGTGCAGTGACATCACCAAAATATTTAGGTTGTTTCCCTTTCATTGAACAATTTTATTTTTGAAATTTCTTTATTCTTTGGATGCATGTGATGCATTGAATAGCCTCCACTCACCTTAGAAATCTGCTTTCCCTAAAGAAAAAGATCTGGAAAGCAAACCAACTTCATCTGCACACAGTTTGCCTGTATACTTTGAAGTTTCAGTATCTTACTAGATCTCTATCCAGGAGCCCTAGATAGATAGGTCTATGAAATGTTTACATTCTCTTTGGAAAATACTTTCTGTGTTTCTAGTTCATGGYTTTCTAACTTCATTCTCCAGCGATCGGATCTTCTTTTGAATCTATCTAAGATTAATTAACCTCTGCTGTAAAGCTTGTATCCTTGGCTTTTTGGTACTGCAGAATTTGGGCTGGAAGTTTTCCTAGTGTTTGACTCTTAAACTGATAGTATTTTAATTCAATGAACATTTTTCTGTCAGTCTGAATAACAGAAATG